ATAAGATCACTCACGTTTCACATACAGGTCTCGGCTAGAAACTCCGCCCACTTCCATCTTTCTCAGATCCTCCTTCATGTGGAACTCTGCGGGAAAAAAATAAGGTTTGAAAAATACAACCAGAAGGGATGGGCACGCCCATTACTGACATTGAGAGATCTTATACACATTTTGACAGTTATATTAAAAGCAACAGCTTAATCAAGTGTGATGGCAGGGCGAAATTTCATGGCAGCAAATCAACTCAACCTTATTTATAGACCACTTTAAAACAACGACTATCAGAAGACATGACCCATATAGACATGGACACACTGTTACAATGTATTCAAACTTCAAACTGAACAATCTGGTACAGTGAGGACAAAAGAGATCTCACAATTTTTTGGCCTCTATTCCCCTGAATTTGGAATCCTGACATTACTAGGAAATGTTACGCTATTCTATGTCACCAATTTAGTGGAAGGTCAGTTTGGAGAAGCCCTCTTGTGTGCAAGCTGCACAAAGAAAGGTCTATTAAGACATACTTGGATGAGTGTTGTTTACTATCAAACACCTTTGGGTTAAACTACAACATAGTTGATGGGTCATCAGGTCACCTCGATTTCAAATTTCTCTGAATAGCACAAGCTGTTCTTGCAGCAATTCCATGTTCGTGTTGTTTCACCTTCTACACGTGTAATAGTACTTTTGGTCATTTAGTGTATTTTGCTGCTGCAAGAGGAGCTTCACTGCATCTTAACTAGATCTTCATCTTAGATCTCAGAGTGTCTGAGATCAAGAAATTCCTTTTCTAATTCTGAATCACGAGACAGTTATTCAGTGAGTGGTTGCAATTTTCATGGTATAATGTGCAAACTAATTCTCAGTAACCCAGTTGGCAGCTGGCACTTGCTGGGCAGAGGTGTCTCTAGGAGCTATGGCCTCGTCTTTGAAATGTAACTTTTAATGCCATTTGCACATTGAAAAGTACTAGGACTGACCTATTGAATACACTGTACCAATTACACAACCCAGAGTTAATTTAACAACAGAGGTTATTTTTCAATCGGCTGGTGTACAAGTAACTTGCAACATGTTGACAGTGTAAACTGTTCTGCTATTTGACCTTTCGTCAGGAGATACTTAATGAGTTTCCATGCATGCATAGTCCATTCGCCCCAAAATTATTATTAGTTACAAATAGTACATATCTTTGTTCTATCCATGACAGATGGGCAATGAAATTCTGTTCTATGTGATGGCCAAAGCTCCAATTTTATACGACAGAAGAACTGCTTTTTTGTTCAGCTAAACATGGGGCACATTGCACACTGAGGATTTGGGAGGAAATTTTAAATGCAATCCATCATTCCAGTACGCATCCAGGATACCAATTTTGGGGATGCTTTTGTTTGGAGGTATGCCGTGATATTTGGCTCATACAAAATATGTGCCTTTCCTAAATAACTGCTTGGTAACCACATGTGTACACGTTCAAAAGTCCCATGTGACAAGAAAAACATATATACATGTATATAAACTTGGTGAAAGTCTGGCGAACATTTGCGACCTAGAATGAAACCTGACGAGAAGGCAACATTCGCTACCTTCGAAAACGCGTGCAATTGTTCGCCGGTCAGTGGCTTAGGGGCATGGAAAAAAACAAAGGACCCTTGCACAGACCAGCTGTTTACTGCGAGATTGCTGAGCTGAGGGCCTGTAAACAAAGTCAGCCGGTCCGCCTTTGCTTTGCTATGCTTCGCTTTGACAGCGGCGTGTGGGCGCTTCTCGTTTCCGATCAATAGACAGGCCTCACGCGGCCAACATGTAGTTACGTCGCAGCGGCTCATCTAATTAACATCACGGAGGAATGTCACGCCGTGTGACGTCTACGCGATGTAGCAAATAGAGGTTAGCAGCAGGCCGTTTAAAAGATAGCGACGACCGCTGTCTATGTACCTTCCATGCACCGCCTTCTCCAGATGGTTTCTGTGTTCAGGATTTGTCTAAATGTCTTGCAGACGAGGGCGACGTTGGGTAGCGCGGTTCCGGGAAGCAAAGAGAAGATCTCCACTAAAAGCTCTGGCGGTAGTTCCGACAAAGCCTGTGGGTGCGGGTGTCCCGTGCCGTCTACAACACCGCGGTGCACCCGGCTCGGCCCTGCGGTGTTGACGCCGCTTTCCGGGCCGCCGCAGCAGGCGTCGCCTCGCCTCTGGCCCACGATCCGCTCTTCTTCCTCCTCGTCCATGTCCGAATCGCTCGCCTGCACCTGCTGATTCTGCCGCGGTCGCCTCCGGCACCTCCGCGACTGACCCACTCCGCAGAGCCTGGCACAAACAGCCATCCGCGGTCATCAGACGGGCGACATTACATCACTCCCACACGTGTTTCCGCTGCAGTGTGCTTAATCTCGTCCTCTGGCGTGACGTGAACGAGGGCCTCGACTGGAGCGGGTGAAGCAAGGGAAAGGAAGGAGCCACCCGTCACACCAGCCAAGATTTTGCTCAGTGCTGCTTTTGAGGTTTTAAAAAAATAATTGCTGGCGTTTTTATAACGATGTGCCATATAAAAATCATAAGCAATTATGAATTCTTGCTATATGTGATCAACAGAATTGAATGGATTATATGTACTTCACGTTTGCCTGTTGCTAGGCAGAGTTCATGGGCTCAACCCAGAGGCAGTCCTGGCTAGATTTGCTAAACGAGCGAACAAAACTCTTGTGCAGGGGTGTCAAACTCCTTTTTGTCAAGAGCCACTTTAAAGTTAAGTCTTCCCTCGGGAGGGCCGTTACAACAGTGAAACCAAATACATGTCTAATCGTCTCATTGTATCATTACTTTGACACAACAAATTGGTGGCTTGCTAGTTTTGAAATCAGTCAAGTCAACGACACAGTAGTTTGTTCAAGTAAGTGTAAACAGGGTAACAAAATTACCGCAAGATCTCAACGTTATTTATTACTCCTGACAAGTTGACATTTCGATACAGATTTTAGCAAAGATCATGGAAGTTGACATACATGATTTGCTTTCACAGGCCATATAAAATGATGTGGCGGGCCGGATCTGGCCCCCGGGCCTTGAGTTTGACATCTGCTCTTGTGCAAACATCGCCAGTCCTCTACCCATGCCGGCCCCACAAAGTATGGACTTACCCACAGAATTCCACCACCGACACAACAATATATTATATTATTTGTATTCTTTTATTACATATAACCCTGAATCAAAAACCTCAACCATCCAACTCATTCCCAGGGAAAGCAAAGTCAGCAGGTACCTCATTCAGTCCTCTACAAACCAGCTATATCCATGTATACGAAAGTATTTTTTAAAATGCAAACACACACACACACACGCAAACACACACACAAATCCAGCACACGCACACCCACTTGAGAAGTCCTGCAAGACATGGCTGAGTGAAACAGTGACTGGTGACTCGCAATAACAATGTATTTGAATGTGATTAATTCTGAACAGCCTCCTCCCTATGTTAGCAGAGTTTGCCCAATTGTGCAACCACGTTATATCAGTTGTTTATTTTACTTCCTGTTTACTTTACTTCCACTCTCAAAAATCTTTTTTAAACAGATTATATGTGGCCAAATCTTTGAAATGTTTTATCTTGTTCACATTTTTAGATAACAAAAACCTGGCATTGGCCGCAGGCTGCGGTTCCCAGCTTGCAGGACAGCGAGGAGGAGATCCACCTTCGTCCCCCAGGCTGTTCTCCTCTTAAACTCTTAAATTCTTAAACTCTTATTCCAAGATCCATGACACCCCTCCCCCCCACCATACAGACTCGCTCACCCCATTGTGCAATACGGGTTTACAGTGCAATGCTTTGACGTGCAATACTTTTCATGTGCAATACTGTCTTTACTGTGTCCTTACTGTGCAATACTGCTCGATGTGCAATACTATTTCGATGCTGGAGCCACTACCTCAAGACCTCAAGTGCTAAGCTACTCTTATCCTATGCTTTTCCTTTGCTCTGACTGTCTCTATAATAAGCCGCTCTCGCACAACTCTAATTGCCCCACGGGGATAAATGAAGTTTTCTGAAATCTGAATTAAACCAGGGTGTGTTTACTTTTCATGTCACTGGCTCGAGTTCTGTTGTCTTCTATGTCAATCGAATCAGCTCAGGCCCTCCAGAATCAGGGCAATTAAAAGTGTGGGGTATTTTCCCCCTATTTTGCCCTTCAATTTTTTGGGGACAGATTCAACCATTCTGATTTCAACAGTTTTGCTAATTCTTTTCCAAAACTTTCAAAATTAACATATTATGTTGATTTTTTTTAATTACAAGTGAACACAAAGATTTCTGTGTTCACTTTTAATGATACAACTGAAAGACCGTCCTTCTCATTGTAATCAAAGAATAGTTTGACAGGCCAAGCCTGCCTCACCATGAAAGCTTCGTAAATGAAGTTTTGCAACAGTCAGCAGTATCTTTCAAAATTTCACTGGGTATTTTCTTCTTTGATATATTGTGGTTAATTGTGTTTGTTTTGTGTATCTTGGATCTTGTAGCTCCTACGTCATTTGCTAATATATTTAAAATACATTTTTTGGGAGAAAAAAAGTCGAGCCAGCCAGGAGTCGAACCTAGAATCTTCTGATCCGTAGTCAGACGCGTTATCCATTGCGCCACTGGCCCCTTAGAAAAGACAGTAAAAGCTTTAGTATAAATCATATGCAGTAACGTATTCGGTCGGGAACGATTTCATATCGTCTGATTGATTACTTCAGTGTTTCATTGTCACTTACAAGCTTGGCAGGTTGCTAAATGACGTTTTGAAACAAAACATGGCACAGGCAAAAAAAAACTCCCAACAAAAGCCTCACCACTATGACGCCACACAATGACGTCATTAGCTTTACATTCATTTTACCCGAATGGTAATTGTATGATTGAAATTTGTTCAAACATCATATTGAAAAAGATTTTTTAAAAAGATTTTTAAAAAAACATGGCAACCCAAAAAAAAAAAAAAGAACCGGAAGTGCTCGTTGCTAGCGGGAAATACGCTGCTGCAAAGATCCTGCGGTGGGGGGGACTGTTATTGATGTTTTTCTGTTGCTGTGTGTCTGCCTGAACTTTTCACTTTTCTTCAACCATGAAGGCTGAAATGGAAAGAATTATTTCCTTATCAAATGGCGACAGTTCTGGAGAGCTTCAAAAATACTTGTCCTCCCTCTCTGAAAGCAAGGTAACTCGCATTGACGTGGTAACGCATAACGAGTTGCACCCTTCGTTCTAATGCTCACCTGGTTAGTCGGAAATGTAAACGACTCACTTCTTTGTTTTGAAGCTCACTACGTTAATTACCAGTAGTGCACTCAAGGGGAAAACGATTGGCACAATTATTAAAGCCGTCTTCAAAGGTAAGAGCTTTGTTTTTGTTTGCGAATTCTTGTTCAATATGTAATTACTCTTTACCACGTTCTTGCCATAAACCTGTTTCTGGAACCTAGCGTGACCTAATTTACATATTTTCACATCTTGCCATTTAAACGAGAATCGCTCTCGGATAAACAATATGTTGACTCCTTTGTATTTTAGGCTCGCCACCTGGATCTAGTGAAGGTTCAAAACGCAGACTGTTGCTTTACCAACACTGCATACCTCTCTGTGAGTCTGGTGACCTCCAAAGTGAAGTGGCAGCTGATATTATTGGACTGCTCATGTTAGAGGTACAAAAGCACAATGCACCTATTGATCACTACCCTGTCCCCCTCCCCACAGGCAGGGGCCTTACAGTATTTGAAATGTGGAAGATGCTCTGTTGAAGGACAGCAAGAAGTGATGGTTTTAATTTCTTAGCAGTTATTCATTCATTCATTCATTTTCCGATCCGCTTATCTTCACAAGGATCGCGGGGGGTGCTGGAGCCTATCCCAGCTGTCTTTGGACAGTAGGCGGGGGACACCCCAAACTGGTTTCCAACCAATCGCAGGGCACACAGAGAGGAACAACCATCCGTGCTCACACTCACACCAAGGGACAATTTCGAGTGTTCAATCAGCAAAAACCCACGCAGGCCCGGGGAGAACATGTAAACTCCACACAGGGAGGCCGGAGCTGGGATTGAACCCTCTGCACTGTGAGGTCGACGCGCTAACCACTGGACACCGGGCCGCTTCTTAGCAATTAATTGGGGAAAAAAAAACAGCAGCGAACAGGATGATTGAAAGCATTACCGACTGTGTAAACTCTTTTTTTCTGTCAATAGTTTTTTTCTTCTTTTGCAGCAGACACTCACTGTTGTACATGTTTTTTCTATTTCTTATTTTGTTTGTATTGTGTAAATGCAGACACACACTTTGGTTGGACCCTCGCTTGCAAAACTAGCAGATCTATTCATTGAAGAAATCAAGGCAGGAAAAATAAGCAATGGCAAATCTTTGGAGCTATTTCCGACTGTACTTATGGCTATAACAGCTTGTGAAACATTGTCATACAGCAAAGGTTAGTACAAATAGTGGATGAAAATTGTAATAAACTGTACACAAACTTTTTCCCACTCAAAAATATGTTTTTTGTCATATCTTTTTTGACCTACAGGTGAGCTCAGTGGTGAGCAATACAAGAAACAGCTGATCAACAGCCTTTGCGCTAGCAGGTGATCTAATGCAATAGCTCATGCTCCCAGCCATGAAAAAAAATCAATAAATAATTATCATTTTGTTATTCTGACCAACCCTGTGCAATGTGACACAACAATGGCCATTTGATTCAATCACCTAAAACTAGTAAAGACTGAATAGTCATTTACAAATAAGGTATAAACTCACTACATGTTTGCATTTATCCTGCAGATGGGACTCACAATGTGTTATCCAACTGACCACGATGTTCAGGTAACTTATTTGGTGTTTTCGTCTGAGCGATATTTGGTAACATTTTCAAAGCCGTGCTCTGACACTTTCGAGTTCGTCTGCTTCACTTTAGGGATGTGCCCCTGTCACTGGATGAGTTGCGGTTTGTGGTGGAGAAAGTGCTGCGCATGTTCAGCAAGCTCGACCTGCAGGAAATTCCGCCACTTGTTTATCAGTTGCTCTTGTTATCTGCAAAGGTAGAAGTGTGAGAGACAGGCACGTATTGCAAACAAGTCCTCCATGCAGTCTAAATGGCCGCGCTACACCTTTTTAGGGTTGCAAGAAACAGGTCCTCGATGGAATCGTTCATTATTTTAAGCAGCAAGACCTTCACCAGCAAGAGGAGCAGAAACATGGAGAGTGGGTGATTTTAACATTGCAAGTTGTAGTGTCCACGTTAAACAATTATTGTCTGTCCTCACACTTCCTCTCTTCCCTCTGTCAGGAACTTGGATTTAGAAGTTCAGTCCATTCCGCAGGACCAGCTAAGACATGTGGAGGGCACTGTTATCCTCCACACTGTTTTTGCTGTGAGGCTCAACCATGAACTTGGGAGAGAATTCCTGAAAAGCATCAAAGTACGAAATGTCACATCTGTCATTTCAGAAAATGGTGACACAATCTAATTCATGCATTTTATGGATGCCATAAATCATTCCCTTCCAACAGGCTTCATATGGGGACCTTTGCCCTTTCAGCGTTGCCCTATTGCTCTCTGTTGCACAGATCCAGCGCTACGAGGAACAGGTCGGGAATCGCCGAGATGCTCCTCCCTTTAGCTTCATCTGTCTCCTGGCTGCTTATTCATGACTGGCCCCCACTCTTCTTTGTATTCGATAGGTGTTTGAACTTTTCAAGCGGGCAATTCTCAAGAGCTTGAAAGATGTGCAGCTGCTGCAGGGCTCCAAGTTCCTGCAGGACCTCCTCCCTCGTGGTCACTGTAACATCACTGAGATCATTTTGGACACGGTGAAAAGCAGGTGTGAGCATTTACATGTCATGACTTCATTATATTTGTACATGCAACAATCAATATTTCTCTCTACGGAACGGCTTGCTGTTCAGAAAATGTTTATAGAGCTGAATTATATCATAATCTGTTCCTGGGTCTTCCTTTTTATAAACTGTACAGGCAATGTCATCATTCATGTCTTTGATGGTGGGCTAGAAATCTGGTGATGAATGGGCAAAGAAAGCATTCCAGTCTTTTTGTTAACTTAGGCACATTGTACAAGCGGCCCAGAAATAGATATGTTTGTAATATTGAACAACCTCCCACGTGTTTGTGTGAATTTTTAGACTGTTTCCAAATTGTATGACGTTTGAACTTAAATGCCACTGAATGTCCTAGTGGTTTGTGGCACTCGTTGTGTTTTTTCTGGCCATACTGTGGCCACTCAGAGCTTGATCATGTGTTTTTGTGTATTCTAACTTGGTCGTGAGCAATCACACTTCTGCTATGTTCACATGGAGTATAAAAATAGTTTCTTGTGGAAAAAAATGCCTGGATCCTTTTGTGCAGTGTCTTTGCATGGGATCATGTGACCCAGGGCCTAGTGCAGCTGGGTTTCTTTCTAATGGATACATTTGGACCGAAACCCAGACCATTTGGAAAGACAACAGAAGGTTCTGCTGCTGTGGCCCGAACTCCTTCTCAGCTGGCATGTAAGCTTGGAGGTCAGGTGCTCCTCCAGGGCTTCAAGGTAACATTGAGTTGTTTTGTCAGACACTATCTGCACTTGTTGACTCTACTGTCTTACTGCAATGTGTTTTTGTTCTGTAAGATGCATGAGGCAATAAGAGGCGAGATACTGGAGCAAGTTCTGAATCGACTGGTCACAAAGACTGCCTCACCTGTCAATCATTTTATAGGTAATACAATGTCCAATCACTTTCCACATCATTATGTAGGCTTACACACAGTCCGATCCAATACGGTACCAAAATGTAATCAAAAGTCAACATCACTATCTTTTGTAAAAGCAGTTTTTAAAAAAAAATAAATAAATACAGCTCTTGTGTTGGATCTCAGTAAATTGTGTAAGTGCTCATAACATTGTGGCTGGTAAGTGTACATTATACATGAAAAGGGCTCATGTAACGCCTGTCACGGCTCGCCTGTTCTCTGGGTTGAGCCCTGAGCAACAACTGTGATGTCATCTTCGGTCAACAGCAAGCGGCAAAACGGCTGCCCCCTGAGATGGATTAAAAACTGTTTTGATTTTGCTGCTTAATTCCTTACTCTCAAACGCAATATTAATCAGAATACCATGTTTAGAGGAATGGGGGCAGATTCATATTAAAATAGTGAGAATAAGAGAATGTTTGACTTGACTTCCCTTTTAAATGAAAATGTGCTGTAGTGCCAAGAAATATATTTTGATGATAACTCGAGTTTCTGTGTCCTCAGACCTCTTCTCAGACATTGTAACCTCCGCTCCAATGATGTTGCTGGAATCATCCTCCAAGGTTACAGAGACATTTGACCACCTGTCATACCTTCCCCTGCCCACTGTGCAGGGATTGCTAAAAGCTGTTCAGGTACTGAAAACACAGAGCAGGCGCTCACATACACACATCATGAGAAACATGTGGAAATTGTTTTCACTGTTTGACTTCCAGCCTCTGCTGAAAGTCAGCATGTCTATGAAAGATGCGTTGATTCTGGTTCTCCGCAAGGCCATGTTTTCAAGGTATACGGATTGCTCCACATTCCCCAATGTGTTTTCTTGCCAATTTAAGCCGAGGTCAGCATATTTGTGTATTGTGGAATTTATGCCATATCGTGGTGGCTACATATCTGAATGAGCATCTTGATATCCTCATTTAAAGATCTATTCTGATTCTTTGTCAGCCAACTGGATGGACGAAAGTCAGCTGTAACCGGCTTCTTGTTGTTGCTGAAGAACTTCAAAGTGCTGGGCAGCCTGGCCTCCAGCCAGTGCAGCCAGACAATCTCCTCCAGCCAGGTAGGTAGTTACTTAATAGAGTATGGAACACAGCAGGTGCTTCATTCAGGTTCATACTAGTGCCTGAAATTGTTGGAAGCGCTTGAATTATGGTGCTTCGTTTTCAAGGACTGGGAAGATGGCCGAATTCTGCAGTAACACACATATTATTAGGAGAAAAAGAAAAATGCATGTCTACTTTAAAGTATGTGAAGATTGGATTGTATCCTTATAAAAGGGAGGCAGAATACAGTCAAGTCCTACATTTGGTGTATGACTTGTGACAGATGTTCAACTGTCTTCCTGTAAACCCAACCAGATCCAAGTGGATGTTCATTCTCGTTATAACGCTGCTGCCAATGAGGCCTTCTGTCTGGAAATCTTGAGCAGCCTGCGTCGTTGCCTTGGCCAGCAGGCTGATGTGCGTCTCATGCTCTATGAGGTTTGTGCTGCTTTTCTAAGCCTCGTGTTCAATTCATGTTATTTTCTAGACATTTTGCTGGGGCGATGCAGAGATCCAGATTTGATAATCTGAGCGTGGTGATATTGCATTGTCGGGATGTAACGATTCACTCAAGGCTGGATTCGATTTTCCATTTTCCGTTCTAATTTCAGTTTGATCCGACAAAATTATTGTCTTGGCAGTGTTTTGTTAGTGCCAGAACTAAATGCAAAAATAATTAGATGGTTATATCCCTATTGCATTGACATAACTGCCAATCAAATTACCCGCGACTCATTCTAGCGAGGGTGGCCTGCTGAGCGAGTGGTTAGCACGTTGACCTCACAGTGCAGAGGCCGTGGGTTCGATCCCGGCTCTGGCCTTCCTGTGTGGAGTGTGCATGTTTTCCCCGTGCCTGCGTGGGTTTTCTCCTGGTACTCCGGTTTCCTCCCACATTTCAAAAACATGCATGGCACGCTGATTGAACGCTCTAAATCAGGGATGTCGAACTAATTTTTGTCGCGGGCCACTTTTGAGTTACGTCTTCCCTCGGAGGGCCGTTATGACGGTGAAGCCACAAAAATGTTTAATCGCATTATCGCATTATTACTTGTAAGGGTCACAAAAGTATTGCATAATCTGAACGTAATTTATTACACCTGATAATTTGACATTTTCAGTATATTTTTTTTTTTCATGCAAGTTGATACACACGATTTTCTTTCAGGGGGGCACATAAAATGGTGTGGTGGGCCGGACCTGGCCTTGAGTTTGACACCTGTGCTCTAAATTGTCCCGTGGAGTGAGTGTGAGCACGGATGGTTGTTTGTCTATGTGTGCCCTGCAATTGGCTGGCAACCAGTTTAGGGTGTCCCCCACCTACTGCCTGAAGACAGCTGGGATAGGCACCAGCACTCCCCCGCGACCTTTGATAAAGCGGATCAGAAAATGGATGGATGGATGGATAGTTCTAGTGACCCTTAATGGGACAAGCTGAAAGTCACAACAACATATTACATTGCATTCTAGTTTAAGAAGATTCATGTGATCGACCTTTTTTATGTGTCATGTTGATGGATATGTTATTCAGGGCTTCTATGATGTTCTTCGTCGGAACTCCCAACTTGCAAGCTCCATCATGCAGACACTTTTCTCACAGGTATGAATGTCTCCTACTATTGGTCCACAATGACCTTATTGTCATGTTACATGCATTGTAGATTTAAAAAAAAAAAAAACATTTGTGGTTTGTTTCCTAGTTGCGGAGGTACTACGAACCCGAACAAGATCTCTTGCCCCCATTGAAACTGCAGCCCTGCATCACAGCTAGTGGAGAACAGATCCACCTTCAGGAGCCTCTAGTACTGTTGATTTTTACTGACACTGATTTGCTGTTTTTGATTTGCTTTAGGTCATAACTCAACACTGACCTATGTTCTTCTGGATAATGGACAAGCGGTCAAAGTCTTGTTGAAATCTTACTCCGGAGTGGACCATGTAATTTCTGACATGTATCTGCTATGTGTTGTAAATACTTTTCTATCTCAGGCCCACCTGGTATCCTCCACTGTACACTGCCTTTTGTGGCTTACAAATATGCGACGATCAGCCAAAATCAGCGCTTACGACGATGATGATAACGAAGACGAGGATGAGGGATATCAATCCGAGCTGCAAGTTATTCTCGAGAGCATCACAAAACGCATGATCAAAAGTGAAATGGAGGACTTTGAACTGGTACGCACACTGCACACGGACTGACAAATTCCAATAAATCAAATGTGTCGTTTCAGATTTTCATCTACAAATGAAAACTTTGATCAGAAACCAAAGTGACGTTGATCTGAAACCAGAGTTGGTTGTCTGTACTTGACACAAGCCCATTCTTCCCAGTTATTGGAAACGGTCATTGTGTTTCTTCAGGACAAGTCAGCAGAATTCTCCACTGTATCCAGTGTTGGTGTGAAGAATAATATCTACGCTGTGCTCGTGATAGGACTCTACGAGGTCCTCTTGGAGTACAACTTTGTCAAAGGCAATTACAGGTACAAACTATTTGTCACTTCCTGTATTGTGTGTGATGGGGAATTTCATATTTAGAAACTTTGCATGACACTTTTAGTAAAAGTGCCTTTGAGGAGTTAGTGGAGCTGTTCAACCGCTACTACAAGCTGTGTGAGATCCTGAGGGAGAAATCCGGAAAAGGTCGGCAGGCCTCAAACAAAATTCCTCGGAGTTTACTCTCAATGGGCTTCATATCAACTCTTGTCACTGCGCTCTTTCAGTAAGTATGCTCAGTATGTATTCTTGTGAATGTTTTCCTCACTCATGGTCAAGAGCGGGGGTCACCAACCTTTTTGAAAGTGAGAGCTAATTCTTTGGTCCTGATTAAAAAATAACTACAGCGAGGAAGTTGAAACATAGTGTCCTGTGCAAGGTGATCAAGATACGATATTGTGGTTTCTAGAGACAGCTATCAGAGCAGAGAGGAGGCGCTCACCGTGTTGCGCTCCAGTGGAGAATTTGTACGTTATGCGCTCTGCGTGGCTGTACAGAAGATCCAGCAGCTGGAAGATACTGGAGTTACAGACGGCCCAGACGGCCAAAGTTCAGACTCGACTTTCCGCTTCCTGTGTGAAATGACAAGGTAGGAATTGTTTAGCTGCAGGGTTATAATAGCTTTGGATTTGGCATCATTGTTTGGGTTTATTTGATTTTGACAGTTCCGCGGTAGTTTGAAATAGTTTGTTCGTTTTTATTTTTTGTTCTCAAAAATGCTTCATAATAGTTTATTTGATTTGATTTAGTATAAGATTAGGGTTTTTTTTTTTTCAATTTTAGTTTATGTATTATTATTTTAGCTATTTTGTAAATTTTCGTTAAACATATAATCTTGATTTAGCGAACATGTGTTTTGACATTTGTGCACCCACCTGTGACGTAACTGGCATTTTGCAGTGTGCTGATGTGGCGGTATACCAACGTCCCCAGTGCAACGGAGGATGCTGGGAAGAAAGAAAAGCGGTCCAGCCTGTCACAATTGAGCCTGGAGGGTCTTCTTGGGGTATTCAATGCATGCCAGCAGCGCTATCCTGACAAGATGACCAAGCTTCTCTCATCCTTTGGTTCGACTTGCCGAAATAAAACCCACTCACGTTGAATAAACTGTCAACGGTAATTCCATTGTGTATCTTCTAGATAACTCGGACGACATTGCTGAGCCAGAAGATTGTGAACAGATGAAGTACTGTTACATCCGTCAATTTCAGGTCCTTGTTTGTACTCTGCATGCTTGCCTTAGTTTTCTTGGAGCACTTGAGCTTCTTCCCACCATTCCAAAAACAGTTAATTGAAGACTCAAATTGTCTGTAGCTGTGAATGTGAGCCTGAATGTTTGGCTTTATGTACCCTGCGATTGGTTGGCAACAAGGTCCAGGGTGTGGCCCACCCCCCACCCCTCACACCTACTGCCCGAAGACGCAGTATAGAGGGCTCCCTCCTTTTAGCAATTACCCACAATGCACTACCGGCGGCCATATTGGAGGGCTGTTATAAACAAGCCATACACGTGTATGGCTTGTTTATAACTTAGATGATGAACTGCTAGATGTATTGTTCAGTCATTACCGCTCATTATGCGTTGTACTTGTTCTTTGTCAACAGAGAGCGCTGTTTGCCCAGTTGAGTCGAGGAGAGGAGGAATTTAACAGCAAAGAAGCTCAACTATTGGTCAAAATTTTGAGCGTGCTCTCACTCCAGCTAAATCCCTCCTCTCAGCAAGTACGTATGCAATCATGAAATGATCGTATCACAAATACATACTAGTTCTGCTGACATCCGCATCCAATAAACAGTTTGCTGAGATGATCACATGGACGGTGAAAATCTGCAAGGAGACCAGCTTTGGTCAGTGAATGCCAGCGAGCATCATTGGTTGGTTTGGATTGGTTGACTAAAACATGTCCTTCCTTGTGTTTAGAGGACTCTGCTTTGTCCAAAGGGCTGCTCTCACTTCTCTTCAGCCTGCATGTTCTTTTTAAGAGCCCTGCCAGCTTGTTGCTGGAACTCTGTCAGGACATCCATAGCCACCTCGGAGATATTGATCAGGTACGTTATCAAATTATGTGAGATGCTGTTATCGAGCTGAAATGCTGGACAGAATTGGTTCCAAAGTGTGGCTGACGTAGCGGCAATGAGAACATTGCCACATCATCACTATTTACGAGATTCTCCAGTTTATCCGTGACTCCAAATGAGTACAAGAGGGATAGAAAACGGATGGATACACAGCATCACTACCAGCTTTGTTTTATCTTGCTGTTTTTCTTACCAGGATGTGGAGGTAGAAAAGCAGTCGCACTTTGCTATTGTCAACATGAAAACAGCAATGACAGCAGCAGTAAGTGTTTTCCTTTTTTTTTTTTCCCTCCCCGCCCCCAAGTTCTGAAGTCACTTTTATCACAATAGTCACATTATGTTTGTAATCTCTAACTCCAGCTGCAGGTCATGTCTCAAGCGGACAAGGTGCTAGATGAAGTGGACTGGCTAATCGGCACAAAGAAAAGCCAGATGGCCGCTGACAAATCATGCCCTGGTAGGGAAACTTTTACACTGATGCTCACTGGCGTGAAGTTTCGGGCTTAAGGGTGGATGTGTTCTTCTGTGTGCCAACAATGATTGGCGCTCTGTTATGTTTCTGACAAGTAGAAGAGGCCACACAGTCTGCAGGCCAGCAGGACCCTGCAGAGAAAGCAGTGACACTGCAGCTTGGAACACTCCTGACCGCACTCAACGAGTTGGTCCAGACCGCGTTGCAGCTCGGAACTTGCACCATCACATTGGTCAAAGTTCTGAGTCGCACTTACGCCATCCTCACCACGCTCGTTAAATATGTGTGTATCTGTTCTACTTATTGTTAGGGTTGCAAATTTCCTGGGAATTTGCCAAAGTTAGAAACTTTCCATGGGAATTCATGGGAATACAGCAGGAAGCTGCTAAATTGAAGGCTCGCTCCAAGTAGAGAGCTAAACAAATACAATTCATGCAAATATGGTGGTACCTTGACTTAGTTATGAGCTGGCGTTTAGTTGATTTTATTTTTCTGAATAATCTTTTCTTTTTTGAGGGCATTTGTGTTGTGAGTAAAAACCAGGAACAGGCAAGCTTCAGATACGGCGCCGTTAATGTGAAAAAATAAATAAATAAATAAATAAATGCTGCAAATAAGGAACTGTAATGCTCCCTCATGTGGACAAGGACAGCTATCTTCTTTGTATTGTCTGCTTATTACCAAATGTTTCAGCCTGAATATGATACGTTTCTATTTCTTTCCCTGCAATTCTCAGTTAATTCCCATTTAAAAAAACAAGGTTTCAATTTGGATACTTCCACAATTCCCCATCTTAATTTGAAATGTACTTTTTTTTATGTAGTTTAGTCCTAGATGTACCATACCCAATTTGATATAAATGTATTCTTTTCACATTTTTAGTACATTCAAGTTTGTGCCAGTCAGAGTGGTAAATTGCCTTTCCGCTTTGAGAAGCTGGTGAGTCTTGGCAACAATCTTGGGAGATTTGCACTAAAGATGATGTGATGCTAAAATTTAATTCATTTTATTTTTTGCCACAATGCAGGTCAAACTCTCTGGCTCCCATCTGACTCCACAATGCTATTTCTTCATCACATATGTTCAGGTGCAAACGGGTTCAAGTTTTCAAAACCAGTCCATGCATAGTCTGGACACCAGCCGTGATTTTAAATGACATACCGTAAATGTTCCCATTATTCCGCTGCAGGGGGGAGAGCCCAGTGTTGGAGGTGCAGACAAGAAGAAAAAGAAGAACGAGGTGAACACTGCTGCCACTGTAAGGACCTTCCTTATATTTATTTGCTTTTAGGAATGGGCTAAATCATTCACTTACGCTAGTCAAGTGAGCTCAACCTTATCCAAGTTGACTTGAGTGCACCCACAACTCCGAATCATATTATGAATTTGTCTTTCAGTGTCCTATTAAGGACAATAATGATGCCCCACTGCCCTTAGGAATGCAGTTGTGCCTGACATTTGGCCTGAGTGGATAATAGTTACTCAACTTCCCACAGCTGATCGATGTCAGCCTGGTCCTCTCCAGACTGCAAAGTAATTGAGACAGAATCAACAATACAATTTTCTATTCTGCTTATCTCCAGGGGCCCACCCAACCCCCCCAGTTGAAAAATTAGTTATTTAAAATAAAGGCCCTTCCCGACTAGTCATTAGCATGATGTGTCATTGGCAAAATATGCATCAGCACCTCACCTCCCACCCCCCGATCGGCGTGGTGTTCTTCATGACGAGTCCAAGAATTTGGTACGGTGCGCCTGCCCATCCCATCAAGATATCATGGTGCATTTGATCATATTTTAATTTTAAAAAAGGGAGTATAAACTGTACAATGTACATTTCAAAAGAAAGATTTAAGTGAATACACCCGTCTTGCTTTCTGGGCAGGCAAAACTTCTGCGTCAGACAAAGGCCATTCCCGACTTGATCTTCAGCATTGAACAGTATGAGAAATACGTCATCACACTCTCAAAGAAGTCAAAGGTACATGTGAATTTCTGTTGTTTGAAATGTCTGGGGAAAAAAAGTGTAAACTATTCATTTCAATGGCATCTGCTTCATCCAGGTCAATCTGATGCAATACATGAAACTGAGCACCTCGAGAGATTTCCGTATCAATGCTGCTTCTCTAGACGCGGCCCTGCAGGAGCAGGACAACACTGTGGAGGTAAGCGTCATCTGCACTCGAGGAGGATCAATCTGTCCAGGCCTGATTTCAGCATTTGCATTTGTTTCTGTTCCTTAGGTTGAGTCACAAGCTGTGGAAAAGACTCAAGAACCCAAACTGAAGAAAAAACGGAAACATTGAGCTGCTCACGTTGGTTACACGCATCTCCTGCTTGCATGTTGTTGAGCTTCCAGGCATTTCTCCATTTTGGGTTCACATGTTACGAGTGTCCTTGGCCTGGTCCATAAGATTTTGTCTTCCTTTACTGAGGGAGCCTTTGGTGATGTCCATTATTTGGTAGATGTCCAAGGCTTCACCTGAAAGCACATCTTGTGTGTTTATCTGTTTTCACCTTTTGTTTAATTTAATTATGAAGAAACACTATATTTAGCATGTCTTGAATTTCTGAACGCATTTGTATAGGTTCTATGGCTGACATTAAAACTGTACCATACTGCATCATGGGTGTTACGTGATCAATTTGTACTTCTGTAACTTCTATTAAGTTCATGATTGATATAACTGTGAGCTTTGTTAATGACTTATTCATTCTAATGAGATCCAAGACGAGTGCTGTATCAAAAAGTCAACCTTCACAAAGATAAGTCATTCATTTTCATTGCCAGTCGGTGAATTATTATTCATTTTATAATTATGTTTATATTTTCATTCTCTCAATATGTATGTACAGTGTATGACCTCACCCAGCAACATGACCGCACTCTGCTAGAATGGCCGACAGTTTGCAGCACTCGATGCTGAAAATCATTGTCAGTAGGTGTATTTGGTTTTAGGCTCACCAGGAGGAAGGCCGTATTTTCGTTCCACACCCATGGGGTTGGAGGGGGTGACGCAGTCCATTGTGACCTCTTTCCTCAGACACGTGTCGATGTCAACCGCACTGAAGAAAGCGACGGACTGTGGAAGGTCCCGCATGCCTAATGCATGTGCAAACATACTCCTGCGGGAGACAGAAGCAGCACATAGAACACTGAAGTCCATGTCCAATTAGGTCTAGCCCATCTGTGAACAGACCTGGCAAGAAGGTTGGTGATCTGCAATGCGAGCGCTGCTCGGTGTCGGTCTTCGGTGCGGACGAGGTAGCGCACCTCATCGTGGATGCTGATGCAGAAGCGGCCGTCAATGTCGTGCTCCTCGAAGAGCCACCTCATCGCCACGAGCATCAGATGAAGGTAATCCACTGCCGAGCTCTGGACCACCCAGTTCACCCTGCTGGTGATGAACTGACACAAGGAAAACCTGGCATAAATGTGACATCTCTCATGTTAACTTCCCTCACCACTTCACTTGGGCCACATGATGGGGCCTTTTTAAAAACAATGAGCTTTAGAATGTGTAGTTGTACCTAATGTTGCAAAATACAAACCATATTCACATTGTTAAACCAATAAAGTACCTCTTAACATTAACTCAGTGAAGACAGTTTACCCAGAATTCACCAGATAAAGAAATTTTAATATTACGTAAGAAAAAAACCCGAAATGATCTTTAATGTAGAAAACGGGTACAGTATCAATTGTCATTCATAAAATTATTTTCCGATGGATTTAACAGTGTTGGGAAGTAACCAAGTACAAATACTTGATTGTACTTGTGGAGATTTTTCAGGCATCTGTTGAGTATTTTATTTTTTGGACAACTTAATTGTTACTCCCGAGTTTCAAAACATATCTGTAATTTCTACTGCTTATTTTGCCAAATAGGAGTTATTTTTTTTCCACCATAGCAGATGACACAATGTTAAACACAAATCAAAACAAATAATAACAACAACAACAACAAAAGGCTAATGCAACTGATTCTGAGATAAGATATTCCCCATTTGTCGCCATATTAATAAGAATAAGAAAACCTTTATTCGTCTCACAATGGAGAAATTCCCAATTTACAGCAGCGAAGTTATGAAAGGAAGAAAGTAGAAGAACAAAACGTATAGGAGCTGCTGTGAAGGCAGCCACTCTCGCAGCGCCATCTCAAGATAAGATAAGAGAACCCTTTGATTTTGTCGGCTACAAGAATGATTTGAGGTGAACCGTGAATGCCTCGTATGACCCTAAATCCACCAGCACCTGGGATTCAACATGTTTTTCAGGTATCATAACCTAATTTAGCATGTTGCTGTAAAAAAAAAAAAACAAAAAAAAAACAAACAAAATCCAAAACAGATTTCTTTTTCTTCTTTAGGCCATGTTATCAGAATGTGTATTGTATACAATCCATTGGTAAAAAACAAAATACTAATGTTAAATCAGAACTTCTACTTGTATCAGTCTTAATTAGCTGACGACTACTACTTCTAAATACAGCAAGTACAGAGTGTGAGTAGCGAGACGATTTGATGACTCTGTATGAATTTCACTTTTTGAAATGAACTACAATTAAGTCAAGCTTGTCTACGATATTCTAATTGAGACACACCTCTAGATCAATAGCACAATCTTGAAAAACTGTGATTAAATAATGAAATAAAATGGTTCAATGAAGCCTTCCTATTTTTCCTCTTAAAAAAAAAAAAAAAAAAGATTTCTCACTGTCCTCAAGTATAAGCTTGTTTGGTGTTGGTGAGTTCCTTCGCTCACCTCATCCTTGACTGCTTTGGGCTCCAGAGCTCTGCTAATCCTGCAGCCCAGTACAGGTGTCGCCGGCTGGGCTGAATGCGCAATGCTCTCCAGTTTGTTGAACATGTCCGACTCTGTCCCCCCAAACCATATTCGTTTGCCAACTAAATCCCATTTTTTCCGACGGGAACTGAATGAATCAAGTAAGAAGATGGAAGACAGGAAAGAACAATCGGTGAGGACTGAGATGAACAAAATGGTGGTTGCAGGTGTTTAATTTCTCACCTCTGTGAGGCCAGTCGACTGATCTTCCGCAACTCCTGGAGGGATACGCTTCCATCTTCCTCCCTTTCCACCTCAATTCCCAGCTCAGTGACCAGCCACTCACCTTCGTCTGATAGTTCATATCTGCCCCACAGAACAAAAAAAAAAAAAAAAAAAAAACCAAACACAAAAAACGGTTGAGTCACATCATGCAGTTACAAAGTTTTCAAGTTACAAGCTGTCGCTGTATTTGTCTGCTGTGAGTTGCAAGAACAATTTTGACCTTTCGGTGACCAGCAGACAGTCTGCTATTAGCTTGGGTCAGTCACCACAATATCCAACCACCATCAGTTCACAACTGGCAGTGAGTGTCTTGCGTTTTGTGCTCCCATTTTTTTTTTTTTTTTTGGCGCAGGTATTTTTACCAAGCAAGGGTACGAAGAAAGTCAGTGCTGAGAAGAACAACTGGATGATGCCCATCTAAGTTTAAAAACATGAGCGAGGGGTGTGTGTACTGGGTGGTCAACTTGGAGAAGCAGGACAAGCATAGTTCTTACATACAACGGTTGAAAGAGTTTATGTGGTCTAAAATGCCAACCAAGGTCAATAAAACAATTTCCAAGATGTGGACCTCTGTCTATGAGAAGATGGAGAAAAGAAACTCATTGCTTCACTGTCGAATTGAGCCGCACCCAATGTATCGGGATGTGTACCGGTTGAATCGTCTTTTTTTCTTTTTTTTTGAGAGGGGGGGGGGCGCACAGCCCCAGTTATTATGTTTTATACAGTAAAACACTGTACAATGCTAATTGAAAACATCACAAAAAAAATGGGGTGGAGTAAATGCATTAACCTTAATTTCAACAAGCAAAGTTGATTTTAGCGATGCGTGCTTTGTGTTATGAGCGTGGATGTGGATCGCCTTGAAACTCAAGGTCACACTTTACAATGAATGAGAGTACCTGCGTAACCCCTTTGTTAAAGCATACATCTGCCTGGCCTTACTGGCAGCGTCTGTCTGGCTAAGGCGATGATTGAACTGCATCAGCAGCCTTTCTGCAAAGGGCTGTCCTGCGCCGTAGATGCGGCCATAGTTGAACACCTTGGCGTGCTCCCTGCTGATCCCCACGGCGTCGGCTGTACGGCTGTGCAGGTCAGTGGCCTGGCTCTTCTTCCCTTGAAGGGTCATCCAGCCAAACGCCGTACAACCTGAACCGCACAGAAAGATATTTTGCCTGACCGGCTTACAGGTGTTCCATAACATGTTTTTTGTTGTTCCAGGTTGATAGACTGTAGTTTTACTCATTAATCACAAAAAATGAATTCAGCGTTCACGGCTCCTGAATATTAAGTTGAATTTACTTTTAAAGTAGTTTTTGGAAAGTCAATGGATTTGAGCACTGGAAGCTTACAATAGACAATACTCAATATAAATCAGTTATACACGGTTTTAAGGCAACAGGTTTGCGCGCGCACACACACACACACACACACACACACACACACACACACACACACAATATTCATATATTATTTTTTGGGGGGGTGCCTTAATAAATTAAATTAGCATTTAAAAACTGCCTTTTGTATTTCCTTGGGTTGTCTCTGAGTGATATTAAAAATGGTTTGATGATTTGAAACCTTTCTGTGATATGAAAAAAAAAAAAACAACAAAAACCTGAGATCAGGAGGGGGGCAAATACCTTTTCACAGCACTATATGTAAGCAGTATAGAAAAATGAACATATGGATGCCAAATCTCACCATGCATGCCAGCAAAGTGGGCCTCTCCGAGCACAGCTGCAATCCACAACTCTTGAGAGTCCACGTCGGCCCCAACCAGGTGGTAACCTGGTGGTGCCTGCACCATCGCTTTCAGCTCACTTCCCACTCTGTCCCGCTAAGGATACAAAACATACTGGCTGTGTTCGGAATCCTCATTCCTGACTCCCAAATCACTTCATAAGGATTTTTATATTGTACAGTGGACGATATTGTTCACTCATGAGTCAAACCCAAAACATTTTTTTGAACACTTCTCAGGCATGCCTTCAAATGATTACGACGTATTGAATCAAGGTCAACATGATATCGTTAAAAGATGAGCATAATTTTATAAAATATAGACAAAAAAAGCACCAATCCATGTTGTGGTACAGTATGTTGCTCTACTTATGCTAAAGATATATTTTCCTGACACCACTCATGAATTGGTTTCAGGCTGAAAATTCAGTTCTACCCCAGAATCCCCCCCACCCACACCCACACCCACACCCACACCCACACCCACACACACACACACAAATCTGTATCAGCGCAACGCAACAATACATTGCTTATTTAGTGACCATGGTGTGTTCACTACTTTTGAAAGTGTAGTGTGGGATGCAATGAGGGCACTACATTTTGTAGTCAGGGATAACCGACATTCATTCCCCCATTTGAACAGCATTCCAAAATTGCATATTCAATACATGAGTATTGATAGCGGATAGGGAGTGATTCCAAACATACCTTTTAGCTTATACATGACAGTACATCATCATGAGATTTCGTGTGAGTGGCTTACACGTGCATTACTGGCAGTCAGCCATGTTGGCTCCACAGCCCTTCTCGTGACAGTTCCAGCCGTGACCACCTGAGGTAATATAGCACCATACTGGCCCTCTTCATCAAACTCCTTGTGCCTTCGGAAAACACACACATCGTTGTATGAAATACTGAGTTTTCCTTCATCTTTGTGGTCAACAGAGATAATATGCAGAGGTGGCAGACTAACCTGCTCACAAAACGAGGAAGCTCTCCTTTCCGTAGCCATATCACCATCTGGGAGCTATGATAAGACCATCAACTCGGTTTTCAATTATGTTTTTCCAAGTCAAATTCAAGCACTTTCAAGAGTAGTTTTCACAGGTTTTTTTTGTAGCGCTGAAGCTCAGCGTTTTAGTACCGGGTACTTGTCGCACAACTCGTAAAGGAGTAGAATGGCATAATTCATGATCCATGAATCGGCCAATGTATTTCCAAGGACTGTAATGGGAATTCGACATCTAACAGTGCTAAAATGTATATTATAACTACTGTAACTGTTTGTACCATTATGAATGTTGACCATGTTATTTGCAGACATGCAAAGTTGCTTGCTCATGCGCCAGACTTCATTGTGTTCTCTGAAGTAGCAGCTGTCCAAAGTGCTGATTGTGCTGCATGAGCTGCACTTCAGCGCCTCCCAAGAAGAGAATAAAAAAGGAGCGCCTGACTGCTCGGGAGAGAAGACTCCATGATAGATTTGTGAATGGTGCTTCTCCATATTTTTTGTAGCGGACATAAATTTCATCTTTTTTTTTTGATAAAGACTTTCATTGTCTTGGTTTCCCTGGACAAGACAGGGCGTCCTCCCTTGTGCCTTTCTGTGACTCTTCAATTCTGTCTGTATCTCTGTGGCAACCTGCTGGTGACACTCTGTTACACCCTAAGATCAGTATCCATTTCCCTCTAAGAACATCCTGCCTGAAGCTTTCTAATGGCGAGGAACTGTTGCTCAATAGTCAGGTGCCATCTTGGCCTCATGATATCAAAACGTGACCAGCATGGTGAAGAGGGCTAAATACCAATTTGGATTGTACCACAACATGTGGTGAACGATTCACCTGTCGTGAATTTTACCGTCCTCGTTTGCACAGGAAGTTTTGCAAAAAGGAAGATCAAGTTAAGATCACCAGTAGAGGTTGGGGCGCATTTTAGGTTCATCATGAAATTTTATACAAAAGTTATATAATGCTCACGTTGTGTCATTAGTACTTATTAATACAGTATTGTAAAACGTGTAGTCTAAAGTAAAACCAAATTGTGTATTTGTCTGTTAGCAGGCAGGCTACTTCCTGGCTCACGAATGTTGAATACATGGGCGGTACCATTACAATTCTGGGAATGGACCTTGCTGTTGAACTTTAATCCCTATACGTAGACCTTCATTCAGATCTTTGCCAAAATGTAACGGATTATTACGTGGCCCACGCGGCACCGTTTGATTTATTTAATAATTCATTATGTGTAATTCTGCTAACCGTATTTGTCTTACCATCTACGGTTTAGTCATATGACGGTTTAACTACTGTCTTCGCTTTTAAATCAAATACTGAGTGTATGGAGAAAAAAATGTGGTAATATAATGTTAAATACTAGATACCTTATGCGTTTATGAGCGTTCCTCCAGAAGGACATCATTTTGTTAATCTCTAAGGCACGTGTGGCATTGGTTTCACCTCTTCCCGCTCTGAGAGTACCATCCTCCATCTTAGGTAGGAAGTCTTTTGAAAAAGGACTGCCAACGTTATTTTGATTCCCGTCCTGAAACAGACAAAGACTCTTGAGTGTAATGCCAGTCGCTTACTGATGAAGCACTGACACCTTACCTTATGTGGTAATTTGAAAAACCAACACCCAGGAATGTCTACATCGCTGTAGGGGCCGATTCCTTGGTGATAATGGCAATGACTCTCCTCTGGGACAGGGTGGGATTTGCGGGTAGGTTGCGGCTTCTTTACAAATTGGAAGAAAAACAAACGGACGAAAAGCATTGATGTCGAGAGCTGGTATGTAAAAAGAGTAACTTTCCTGTTGACATGAGAATAAAGGTAATAAAGAACAATTTGGATACCCCATGTGTTACTGCTTTGACTCCATGTTCCTCTGTTAGTCTCTCCAGTGTTCCAAACTCCTCCACCTGGTGGGGGAAAAAAAACCTCAGTGCATCTTCTTTTCTACAACTTTTTTTGTAGCATCTGGTTGATGGAAAATGTATTTTTAAAAATGGAATTGATTATAGAAGCAGCACGGTGAACTACGTCGGTCCTGCATCCAAATCATGGCTCACAGTGGTCAATTTGCTTGTGTGGGTGTTCACCGGGTACTTTGGCTTCCTCCCACAATCCAAATACATATACATGCATGTTAGGCTAACTGAAGACTCTAAATTGCCTATAGGTGTAAACGCGAGCGTGACTTTGTCTGTTAGTGCCCCTTGAATGGCTGGTGACCAGTCCAAGAAGTACCCCAGCTCAAGAGTCAGCTGGGATAAATTCCAGCTCACCCTCGACTAATGAGAATGACAGAAAATCGATGGATGAATGGATGGATGGATGGATGGATGGATGGATGGATAGTTAATTCAAGAGCTTGCAGCATAAGTGTACTTGCTTGCCCACTACTGTGGAGTCGTATCATATTTGGCATAGGTACCTTTGCCCAAACAGCGCTGTCTGACCACATAAGGTCCTCTGATGGTGCGCAGTCCACATACTCAGGCGCCCCCTTGCAGTTCTCATCACAATACTCTCTGTAAACGCGCTCAATCTCTCTGTAGAAGACAAAAAGCTCAAATACATCCTATGCAGGCTGGATTTCATTCTTAGAAAAGTGGTTCTCAAACTTTTAGGGTGCAGAGGAGAATGTTTTCCAAGTATCCATGACGTGTTTAACAGTTTCAACCAAAGTATTCATGGCGTATTTTACAGTAAGGAACCAAATCCAATTGAATTAAATTAAAAGTATCCATCATCACTAGCTGACGTGCCCTGCTTTCACAAACAACTTGGCGCAAACGGATAGGAGCAATTTTACAAATGCTCTCGGTGCACCTTAGCAATTTGTTCACTACATTTTGGGACTTTTCAGACCACTCAAGTGACCATTAAAAAAAAAAAAAAAACACTTGCAACTTTAAACCCCGATAAGAAAGATACAACATGAGCAGAATCATTTTCACATTGTTTTCCAGATGACAAAAAGTTGGACTCAACATCGCCAAAGCCATGGTTACCATTTACACATTGCAAAAGTAGTATTTTATCCATGACATTGACATTTTTCTTTTGTCCCAATGTACTTCCAAACCACATATTTGGCTGAGGTCTTTTTGCCATATTTGTGCAACTCAAGGAGAAAGTAGTGTGAGAGAGCGAAAAATGCTATGCAGAGAAGTCACATTTATGTGCTATGTTACAGTATCAGATATCAGCGCTCTTAACTGGCCTAAATTGAAGTAGGACACAGTAATTGGCTTGGCTTGTTTATTTTATTGGTAGGCTGGTCCCCATATGTAATAATAATAATAATAATAATACATTTAATTTTGAAAGCGCTTTCCATTGTACTCAAAGACACTTTACAAGAGTTTAAAACACGGGATATTATCTAGACTTTAAAGCCAAGCATACATGATTTAAAACACATTTAGAAGAAGAAAATCAAAGCAGAAATGGGTATGAGATTAAAAGGTGTTAAAAGCTATGCACTTATGAAAACAGTACCACCGAATTTTATGCAAATATACTGCCTCAGTTTGAGAACTACAGTGAAACTCCTCTACAACGAAATCATGTTTGCAACAGGGGGTTTTTCACTGTAGCAAATTTGATCTCAGATGTAAGCACACACACACCCACACACACAAACGTATGTGTACACACAGCTAACTGGAGCGCTTCTCTCTCATTAGCGCTCCAGTTAGCGTAAGGTTTTTAGCCTTCGAGAGCTAACTATGGCCATCGAGGACTACGAAGCGTCCCGTGGGTGTTTTTAGCATGATAAATCTTCTACGGACCTAGCTTCAGTATCTCCACACATAGACAGTGAGGTCCCTCTTGGCCAATCGGAGGCCAAGATGATGCTCGGCAAGCCAATGGCAGAGCAGCTATGAGTATGTTGAGCCCAGGAAACTCGCAGCTGTGACCGAAATAAACATCGTTCACTATGTAAACCAGTGTGGTGGTTGCTGTTGCCTTTTTTCGAACGAAGCAGTAGAGGTCGCTGTTGGATAAGACTTCGTTGTAGTGAATGTCTTCGCGAGGCTGGAGCAGACAAAATGATTTCGTATAACGCAACAGGGGGTTTTTCGTCGTATGGGGGGCAGGAGAATGGGAATTGTGTGAATGCATGAAGATTTTTTCACATAAGGGGGTATTTTCGCCCATGCAGGTTTCGTTCTAGAGGAGTTTCACTGTACTAGAGTGTGGTCCACGACATACTTGTGAGGGCAAAGGACTGGCCCGATGTTTCCCTCCGGGGAGTCCAGGTTATCCCTGCGTCCCGGAACCAAATAGCCCCAGCCATGCTTCTCCGTGTAATGCAGGGGAAATCCATCCCACGTCAGACCCATCAGTTTAGGGGTCACCCTCATCTGAAGACTAATGAGATTCGCTCCTGGCGACCAACTGTCTGCAAGCATCTTTTCACACAACTTGCGATACCACCTGATGATGCAGGACGCATGGAGGAATTGAGAAATAGTGGAAAGTGAAAGTGAAAGTCAAGTTCTGGCGGTTTGAGATCAGACCCAGGATGTCCAGGCAGGTGTTGCTTTCTCTTGGGAAGTCGATTCACCGTTTCCTTCAATTTATCCACAGCTAGCCTGCTGGGACAAGGGCCCGCTACAGTGTCGTCTTCAGCTGGTGGACCTGCGTCTTGTAGCACAAAGTAAATCATAATCAAGACTTTTCGGAATGAAGACCATTATAATGTGATACCATCCATCCAGTCTGCAAGAGGAGTCACGGTTTGGGATTCAACCGCTTTTGGGGACGATTTGTTTTTGTTGGCTGGCAATTTTTTCAGCTTGAATTCCTGCACGTCCCATTCAAGGTCCCAAAGCCAAGGATCACCTCGGAATCTAGGAAACATACAGACAATACATGATATGGACAATGGTATGGTGACAATAAGTCATTATATCAAGGTAGGGGGCTCTCCTTTTTTGCACAGCAAAGACCTGATGCTTTTTTTTAATGAGATTTAAGTATTTGTAACATCAGTGATAATTGATGTTGGATGAGAGGGGCTGGCTGACAGTCTTGGTTCTTGTTGACCCCTACATTTTTCAAAGGGGTTAAGTTTGGGGTTCGTGCATTTAAGCCTTGATGGTTCTGACTTTATGCGTTGCAAAAAAATGCAGAAGCAACGTATCGTCCAAAACATATGTTTAAGTTTAAGGGGGAACTTAGGGGTCAGGGGCCAACCGTAATTAATAAATGAGCTGATTCAGTGGTCGAGTGCATCTAAGACGTATTACAACCTGAAGTCTTTTTTTAATATGATGACTGCACAGACATTTTTAGATCTCTCCAGATATGTTCAATCCAATTCAAGTCTGCTGTCTTGCTGGGCCACTGACGGATATTCAAAGTTGCCCTGAAGCCACTCCTTCATATCTTGGCGTATGTACATTGCTGCAATCATCTTTCCCTCAATCCTGTCTGGTTTTCCAGTTCCTGCTGCTGAAAAAACAACCCCATAGCGTGGTGCTGCTACCATCAGGCATCAATGTAGGAATAATATCGACCAGGTGATGACCAATGCTTGGTTTCCTCCAAACCTGATGTCTGACGTTAACCCCAGACACTAATGTCTTCAGTACACAACAAAAACAAAGCTGGTCAAATATTTTGGGGGGGGGGGGATGTAAAGTATGTCCTAATTACACATGTCCTCCAATGTGCAGATACATCACAAGAAATTCAAATTGACTGCTTCATAGAAAACGTAATTGAAGTAGATCTATTAAAAAAGTAACTTCTCATTTAACATGAAAGATTCATTACACACAAAGTGAAACACTTCCTGATTGTATGTTTGTCATAATAACACCGATTATAGCTTAAGCAATCAAAAAATGTTAGTACTACGTATGAAGTTGTGAAAGGTATTGGTCAAAGATGTATATAATGACTTCATTTTTTTAATTGAGCTACTGAAATAACTATTCTACGTTATCCCAATTTCTTGAGATACACATGAATAACTTTTAGCAAGTACTTTATGTAAAATACCATAAATTGCGTTAATCTTAGGAGAACAAAGAGCCACGTTAAATCATACGCCTGGTGTCGAAAATTCAGCTTCATTGAGGAATAATATGTGTTATCCTGACATAGTGCGGTTAGAGTCTCACCTCTCACCCTCCAGAAGTTGGCATGCATCATCAGCTAGAATCATGAGAGATTTTTTCATCTCTCTCTGGAGCTCTTCATAAATGTCCTGGGAATCCTCCAGGTATCGCCCCCAGTTCTGATTGACAGGAAGGTAGCTCACACCCATCTCCAGCATTCCGGCAAATGTCACTGGATGAGGACATCTTTGGAAGGACAAATTAGCTGTTAAGATCCACTAATAACTACAATTTAAGATAAATATGTCTTCCAACCTCTCCATGAAGAGGGGCAGTTGTTCAACAAAAATTTGATGGGTGGCCTGAACATCTGAGGCGCAGTAGCGCATTAACTCCTGTGGGAGACAGCAAAGAGAAAGTAACCGTACACTGATGCATTGATAGCTTGCTAGATTGATGGATGGATAAACAGTGGACAGAAAGTCGGACAGACCTGGAAGTGCTTCCTGACATCCATCATGGAGCCATTGATAAAGGTCTCCCTGATCTCTTTTTGTAATGGCGGCCCTCCCACATATAGAGCATGGACATCGGCTAAGTTGTTGATGCTGCTAATATTCACCCAGTCCCAAAATCCAATCTATACACACAAACATTCCACTGTGACCCTTTTCATGAGTTTATGCCAAAAACACCAACACCACCCAAAGCCAGTGTTGAATACACAAACCTTGGGACTGTCTCTTTTCTGTCCCACTTTCTTCATGCGCTGGCTGACCTCCTGGAGGCACACCTTCTTGCCCTGCTTATTGGCCATCCATAGTGTGCGCTGGAAGCCAGTAAGGCCCGAGATAGCCATGTGAAGACTCATCGTGTCCAGGAAGCGCACCTTAGACGCCTTGAGAAATGGATATGGATATGAATTTAATGTGCAAAAACACAAGCCTGCTTCTTGCACACCCACCTTCATTAAGTATTGCTCCTTAATGTGAGATCGGTCAAAACTGACATTGTGGCCCACAATGAGGCGTTCCTTCCACTGACCGCCTGGTGGACGGACAGAGTTCATTGGTGTCTCCAGTGGGATGAGGTCAGCGAGGATGAGCTGGTCTGACCAGGAGTAGCGCTCTTCAATCAGACGTTTGCTGCACCAAGAGTACCTTGTAATGGACACATAATAAACTTGTGACATGCACTTGCAAGAACATACAAAACCCACGCACAGTGGTACCCTGTTACAAGTACCCCAACTTACCCCAGTCTTTCAAGTTACGAGCCACTTGATATTTTTTTGTTTGTTTGTTTAGTGCTGTGAGCGAGTTTTAGATACGCTGCAATTTGAGTGAAGTGGGTAAAAAAAAGCCCCGGATGCACTTTTGGCCATTGATTGAACCTGACAGTGAAATAAACAAATGCAAAATGAAAAAGCTCGCAAGGAGCCAACGTCACTCCCTAGTAGAACGACATAAATGGTTACTCCAGTGATGGGACTTTCAGTTTAATTACACATAAGAATTTGGTCACAGAACAAATTACATTTTTAAGACACACTGCCACTATGTTATTTTGATACCATCGTTGTGTCTACTTAATGACAAATAATTTCTAAGCAATGAACAAATCCATCCACTTTGTATAGCCCATGTCTTCATTCAGGTCTTGGGTGAGCTGAAGCATTGTCAACAGGTGACTTTGGGTGAGAGTCAGGGTACAACTTGGACTGGTCATCTGTAATCGTGGAACACAGCCAAGTACATAAATATTTGGACAGTGTCACAATTTTCAGCATTCTAACTCTGTACAACACCACATTGGATTTGAAACGAAGCGATCAGGATTTGCTTCAGTGTCCAAATATTTAAGGACCTGGCTGTATAGACAACCACTCACACTCACATTCCACACTTAGCATCTTCATAGCCTAACTTTTAGGGAATTTAAGGGAGCCAAAGTACATGGAGAAAACACAAAAGCATGGAGAGAATGTGCAAACTTCACACAGGAAGGTCAGAGCTCAGATTCAAGCCCTGAACCACAGACCTGCTAACCACTAGAACACCATGCTCCTAAAAGGATGAAGCCAGTCAAACATAGTCATTCAAGTTCTTACACCGTGGAAAGCCCCCCCCCCCCTTTTTTTTAAATACCCTTACCAGTGTGTTGGAGACAAAGCAACAGCCAATGTTGGACAGTGGCCCTCTGCCATGCACACCTCTACATCAAACACAAGTGCTGTTTCATCCGGGAAGTCAACCCTGTGGCTCTCCCCGTTGGACCCATAACGTGTCCAGCCAACCTGCCATGTCCACTCCTGGGGCAAGGGAGGAAGATCCGCTTGCTGCAGCTCGGCCGCAGCTTCCAGGTAGGGAAGACTTTGCTTCTGAGCCAAAACACGGAAGTGCTCGTCAATATTGTCCCCATACATTTTGGGAAGCTTCAGCTCCACTTCTTGTAACAGTGCTGTCTCTTTCCCCCACAGCTGATGCTTCTGCAAGTGCCTTACACTGCGTTCCACATCTTCTTCTCTGTACTCGGGCACCAGCCCTCGAAAGATCTGCTCATGGAGATTTCTTGACAGCATCTGGATGTTAAGGGGGTTCAGACGGGTCTCTCCAGTGTCCTCTCCCTGAACTGGGTGAGGCTTTGTGGAGCAGAAGGAGCGTGGCCATATCCCTTTTTTGGAGATGAGAGACCTGGGCATGGGACAGCGGATCACTTTGAGCATTTGGACGGCTCACTGCATCCTATGAAAAAAAAAAAAACATTCACAACTTATTTGACTTAATCACATCGGCTTGCAGCAACTGTTGGACAGAAAAACATGCCTTAAATATTCCCCGTGTATTGCCTTAATTTAATTTACATGACAATTTCAAGAACACTGCAAGCACGATGCAGTTAAGACAGTCATTCGTAAATGTCTAAAAAAAATCTACAAGAAAATGTAGGTACGTCCTTCTACCAATTTACCTCGGTCAAATTATGATGGGATGATGAGTTACCAACTTCAACATTCGGCTCTTCTGTTTGCCTCGATTGTGAGCTAACAAGGCAACAGCTGCTTACTTCAAGTCCGGCTATGTTTCATGACAGGACAGCGACTGAGGGCAACATAAACGCACCCAAGTTAGATTCAAAAAACAAATGTGACTAAATATTCCCGCATAAGGCTAGCGCTGCTTCGGTCTGCTCTTCAAGTAGCTCACCATGCTTTTAAAAAGTTTGCGACATCTTGTGGTCTGGATGACCGCGTTTACTTCCGTCCACTCACTTAAACTGGATGACTGTGAAAAAGATTCCACTCACTTGCGTTCCGTGTAAATTACGTATGCTTTGTGTTAATACAATAAAAGGTTTGTGCCTACACCAATAAACTATTTGTATTTATTAAAAAGCCTTTTGGCAGTCGCTGACGGCCGTGTGGCCTAATGGATAAGGCATCTGACTTCGGATCAGGGGATTGCAGGTTCGAGTCCTGCCACGGTCGTTTGTTTTGTTGACAGTGTATGCTTTCTCACGTGTTTCTCGCATTATATTACGAATATACAATGCCAGGTGCAAAAGTAAACGCTGGTCTAACAATATATCATCGTGTGTTTTGCTTTTTCTAAACAATGGGTGCTACATAAACAAGGAACTTGGTTTATGAGATGCACAGGAGTCTAAAAAAATAAAATGGAAAGCACCCAATCGAGGGCGGCTCATGGCCAACTGGTTAGCGCGTCAGCCTCACAGTGCAGAGGGGCAGGGTTCGATTACAGCTCGGTCTTCCTGTGTGGAGTTTGCGTGTTCTCCCCATCCCTGCGTGGGTTTTCTCCGGGTACTCCGGTTTCCTCCCACTTTTCAAAAACCTGTGTGGCAGTTTAATGGAACGCTCTAAATTGTCCCTTGTTGTGAGTGTGAGTGCTGATGGTTGTTTGTGTATGTCTAACCTGCGAGTGGCTGGCAACTAGTTCAGAGTGTTCAACAGAGTCCTGAGTTTTGATTTTGACATCTGCACAATAAATGTTCTCAAAATGACATTACAGTAGATCTTGGATTTTTTTTAATCAAGCCAAAACAGAGAACTCACTATCAAGCCCATTAAATAGTGCAGATGTGTTATACTCTTTTTTTTGCCGATGTTTCATTCAGAGGGCCATTATGAACCTAAATAAATGTATAATCGCCTCATATTGCATACTCAACAAATCTACGACTAACTAGTTTTAAAATCAGAGTCCGGTAAATACTATGTTCTCAAATGTTATTATTTGGATTTTAAAAGGGGTATTGGAAGCCAAAAAAAAGTTTGCAATATCCATTCACCCATTTTCAACACCACTTATCTTGAACACTGTCGCGGGAGTTCTGGAGCATATCCCAGTTGACTTCATGCAAAAGGTAGACTAACATCTGCAATAGACTCCAATCAATATGTGCAAACGTCTCAAAGTTTACACGTAGAATTTCAATGAGATTAAACGTAAAATAACAGCAATGAGTAAAGAAGCGATAATATATTCATGTGATCTCTCAAGGTTTTTTCTTCTTGAATTGAAGACAAAAATCAGTATTATTTTGCAATCGGGCCCTCAAATAACATGAATGTGGGGTTAAAAAAAAAAAATCTGGACAAAAAGACTTATTTTCGAAGAGCACCCTCCCACCACTTTTAACACTCTTCGGAGCCCCTGGACTCTGTGATTGGTCAGAGAGGGCGAGCTGGTTGTGACGTCATCCCGGAGTGGCTTGAGTGACAGCGCGCAAGCTGGAGGAGAGGGAGAAGGTGGATGAACGAGGATGGAAGAGGACAATTTACCTGGGCCTCATGCTAGAAAAACACCCTTGTGGCAAATTCAAGTCGACTGTTGGTCAGGGACATTACAGCCCGGGCTTACAATTAGGTAAGCGAATGTTTTTAAAGGAGACGATTATGCCTACATCACGTTTTACCTGCTTAACACCATGTGTCTTACTGATGTGGGGCATTCAGGGAACGCATGATGTACGCTCTCACTTTCCGGAAAAAAAAACATAAAACGTAGCCATTAATAATTAAATATAATAGTGTTCTACTCAATAATACTGCACGCTTATAATATAATAATATAAATCTTTTGGCCTGAAACATTGCCTTGTGTGCCTAACCCAATAGTTGTCGAAGTAGGCCAATGACATAAGTCTAATTAAAAGTGAAGATATGGGGCTATTAAAAAACGTCATGGAGTCAAAACGAAGTAATTGGGGCGAGTTAGAAAAGACGGTCACGGTGATCTGACGTCTCGCGCCTTCGCCCCCTTTTTTGCTTTCCTTTTTTCTTTCTTTCTTTAGTGCGTTCTAACCTTGATGAGCACAACGTGAGTTTGAACACGTCCAAGTGTGAAGCAGAGGTTGTCGACGTTCGAAAAATACTTCACACGCAATTTCCTCAACATCAAAGATGTCCCGTAATATTCGTAGAAATGCACATTTTATCCCACGTCTCTAACGTAAGAAAATATATCAACCACCGTTTGAATTACAATTCCTTCCATGACGTTTTTATTTTATTAATTAGCGTGAAATAGGCCACCAGGCTTTTCGGCCTTTTTTTTTTTTGCCTTTAATAAGTGTGCATGTTTTACAGATACTTTATATACCTACTGTATTATTAATTTGGCGGATTAGAATACGATTAATAGTGACCTGATTATGATAACAATATTATATTTTGTGGGCTCTTTATAATGTAACAACATGTATTTAACAAAATATTTGAAAAATATGTCCTCGTTTCCTTAGCTGTGTGTTTTATGGTTATTTTGTAAAATGCTGTAAATCCATTTGTACTCATTTTTGGAAAAAAACACTGACACATTTTTGCCTCCTCTAGATGATAAGTGGTAACCTGTGTGGTTAAAGCAATCAGATGTTTTGGGAGTCTGTTTCTGTCTTTGGTTATCTAGCTGTATGAGTGTTAAATTCCTGTCATAAAGCTAGATAACCGAATGTAGGAATGACTCCCGTAATTAACGTTGAGGGAGAAAGCAAGAAAGAGCGAAGACTGGCCTTTACCTCAAAGGTAAGGATTGTTCTACATTATGTGCTTGTTCATTTAATTTTGCAGTTGAAAAATAATGCTATATATTTCATGCACAAATATCTTTGATTAACAAGCAGACCGTAGGTAAGCTACTAATTTTCCTTACATATTCAAACACACTCATATACCACAGCACTTAACAACGTACACAACCTAAATGAGAATGACAAATACTGTACTTGTAGCAGTAAAAAGAAACCAAGGATACAGTGTAGCGTGTGCATAATAAACATGACAGTTTGCAATGCTATCATATCATAGTGTAATGTCGAAAAGTAGTGCTGTAAACTGCCATGAGAAAGATTGTCAAGTAGAGAAATATCTATAGACCAGGATTGAAAAATGTCATGATCGATCTTATCTAATAATATGACTATAATTAAAATGTAATTATGGCACAATGAATGACCACACCGTAATAATTCAAATCATATTACGTGTGCAGACATATAGATTGGAATGTGTAAAATCTTTGGGTATAATTGGATTTCACACAAGTTTGTTTTGAGGATGCACATCACCAAGCCACTAATCAAATCAGCGATACGAAGAGCTGGTTTTAAACAGGTTTGGATCCCAAGTTGTGCATTGGGCTCGCCTGGCATCATTGTTGTAGAAGTAAAGACACACACATTGGGCACGTTGTTTAGTGCAGACTTAATAAATATTCACAGGAAATGACTAAACAGCGAATGAACTAGATTGGTGTGTAAGCTTGTCATAAAGTGCCAACGTGAATCTTTTCATTTAATTTAAATGTAAAACATCTCTAGCGCGCTTTGTTGACAGAAGAAAGAAAGGGGGAAACGAGTGCTTTGTGCTGGCATTAATGTTTCCAGGACTACTAATAATGCAGTGGAGTGGTGTAGGACCCTCTGCAGAACAGGGTTTAAAAAAACACTTGGCATTTGTGTTTAAAAGCTGTAACGAATCTTTAGAGTCTTTGAGATAGATTGGAGCGGGCCTCAATGAGAGGGGCCGCCCCATCCTGTAGACAGGAGCTGAACTTTTCAACTTGCTCCTTGAGTGTGATGCAGTCCATATCCACGTGAGCCACTAAAGCCTGAAGAGCACCGGTGTGAGATGAGCTTGCATTCAGCGCGTTAACTACCTATTGCAGTGGAGCTCGCTGTCTAATTGCTTCGTTTCACTTGCGGGATATTAGCGATGCGAAAGGGGCTGTGGTCCGAGCCTCTTCCTGTTCATGGTGTCTTTATTTATGGGATGCTCCAAGGCACCATTGTGTCTTCCTTTGTACCTCTAGCCCATGAATGATTCTTCACCGCCGTTCTCGCTTTGGTGATGAGCAGCTGAATTATAAACCCAGGTTCACAGCAACGTTTAATCACCTGTATGAGAATCAAGCATCCAAACGTGCATCGCTTCTCTTTGTGTAGCTTTCATCACAACCAACAATTCAATGCGGGCTTGTTTTCTAAACCCTGATTGATGTTGTCGTTACAGAGTTTCAATTAGCGCCGTTCTTCTTGAAAAGACGGTGGAGGCATTGTTCAGCGGAAAAGAGGACGAGGTCGTCGCGCTTCCTCCGCCCTCTCTTCTTTTTGCCCAGAAGCCATGGTATGCCATCTGCACTGCCAGTGACAGACACTGCGCCTATGCCAGGAGGCAGACAAAGGCCTTGGCCGATCTCGGATCCTGGCTGTGGGCGGAGAAGCCATCTTGGGCAATCTTGCAGTGATATTTAAAATGGCTGGGCTGACGTACAAGGTGGGTTGCATCATCCTTTTTATGTAGGGTAACGTTGGCTTTTGGTGGGAGCAGTGGGAGGACGAATGCTGAGTGTGTATGCGTGCGTGTGTGTGAGTGCACGGACTGATGTCAACGTGGATGAAGAAAAGATGAGTTCCTTATTTCTTCCCCAATCGCACACGCACACACACGTACACTCTCACACTCACATGGCCTTCCCCCTTTTTCATCTGTTCTCTTCCTGCTAATTAGCAGTTAGTGGGGGGTGGGGGGAGTGATAGGAAGGGGGCTGGGTAGCAAACAAAATTAATGAGCTGGCACTGGTTGAAGGAAAGCTGCCACCCTCTCTTGTCACGCTGCTCCTTTGCACACAGCATGATGGATGACACCTGGCACATACACGTTACAAAGTGTGTATATATATATATATATATATATATATACACACACACACGCACGCACGCACGCACGCACGCACGCACGCACGCACGCTTGTGTTTTTACAATCCTAGTTTATAGGTGAAATAGACTCCTAAATTTTATGTTGTCGAAAAACATTTTTGGTAAATTGACTCATTGATGTCGTTCAATTTCAAGCCGTTTAGTTTCATTACTTTGATTGACTGATCATTTTCTATGTTAAAGTATTGTGAAAGATAATGAAACAGCCATACAACCTCTCCCAAAAGTCTCCCCAAATCAAACAGCAAACATCTGATGCCACCAAATATGAACAAATCCCTGCCACTTGACACACTCAAGGTGTCGCGTAAAAAAGTTTATATATATAAAAGCTTTTTTTCTCACAATGGAGAAATTCCCATCGTAAACGTAAAAAGATTTAAACAAAATAATGGAGATGAGCAGAAATGAAGATGCCAATCTCATCATATATACACACACACACACACACACACACACACACACACACACGCACACACACACACACACACACACACACACACACACACACACACACACACACACACACACACAGGTTGTCATATTTCAACACATCTGTGTAAAATATTCAGCTGTTACCAAGGTAATGTTGCTCAGTATTGGTTACACTCAGAAAGGGTTTCATCCATTCAACAATATGTTTATTACTGTGGCTTCAGGTTGTAGTGGTGAACAACAATACAGCACTACAACGAGAGGAACACTTCTCGTGTTCTGTTGACCTCATTTTGTAACATAAGAGTCATGATTTTTTACAACAGCAACAGCTGTGCTGTCGGGATGTTCTACACCTGCATTCATATCCACATTATTAAATGAAGTGTCATAATTGAGCATTATTAATTTGTCCTGGTTGAATTTTTGATTAAGTTCTTATGTATTGTGACTATCGGTTAACTGCTGTGGCGTCTCTGCAGTCAGGAGTAGCAAGCGGGAAGACGTGAACGTGTGTCCACCGTCAACGTGCGCAGCTGCCGTGCACGTGTGTTAATGAACAGCGTTGTGCGTTTTCACATTATCATTCAAGTCTGCTCGCTCTCGCTCACTGCCCTCTCAATAGCTGGTAAGCGCCCCCGTACCCCCTCACACACACACACACACACACACACACACACACACACACACACACACACACACACACACACATACACACACACACACACACACTCTGCTGACACCCCGCCACACCTGCCCCCCTCCAAAAAAGCTTGCTTTCCCACAATTGTGAGAGCTGGTGCCGCAGCGGGCCCGGCCTGGGGGGCAGGGTGGGAAAGGCCCTCCAGACTAGACATGAGCAGATGCCTGAGACATTAGACTGTCGTACGGAGCACCGAGGTCGGGTGAGGCGCTGAGTTTTAATGTGTTTGCAAGTGTATGCGTGTTTGATATGTGTGCGTTGGGGAGTGGGGGCGGCGCGGGCCCTGGAGTGCCACCTGACTGTTCATTAGTCTATTCAGCCCCCTCTGCATGTCTGAAAGGCACGGTGATGCCATGCTGTTTTTCTCTGCCAATTGAGCGGGATTCAACATGCATTCATGCAAAGTACACCACATGCACGCAGTCACCGACCTACACCTTGTCACTCTCTCCTTGGCCTTTATCAGAGGTGGAATGCAATTAGAAATCAGCCGCACATTCATAGTCTCAATCTGATTGTATGTTGCCTGCAAAACCTTTGGACTCGAAATGGCACAAGCCTATCCGTGCCTGTGAAACAGCCAGCATGACAGGCCCAATGATGTATCTCACTGATAATCTCTCACAATGAACCACACGGATGCAGATTTTGTAAGGTACACACATATCTGTTAAAATAAATAAATAAATAAAATTGTTGCATTCATATATGGTGAAAATATATTCTTCACTTGATTACATAGGTCCGGATAAGAGGGAAGCCCTGATACAAAGGTCGATTGTGAATCAATCGTGTCACTCGTACAAAACACATTTACGTGATGCAAATGTCTCACCTCATCTGAATGTGAACACCCTTAATCTAGACAGCTCCAAACTGCACACATTCATAGACGCCCTGCTTCGTGAACCACACATACTGAAAAAAACAAATGGTCGCATACAATTGGGTTAACTAACAAACAGACGAGAATGAAACGCGACCGATCAAGATGGGGTTACAATGAGTATAGGTGAACATGAAATTCAGTTGGGAGGTCTGTTGCATAGGCACGGTATGACCACATCTCCTCAAAGAAGAGTAACATATACTGTAGCTATTTTTCCCTTTGCTTTTGCGACAGATCACGTGAAGTTAGTCATGTTATAATTTAGGTACCTGGTGATTGAATACGAACATCTGTTTAATCTGAAAACATAAAGTGTTTTCAATCAAGACTATCCATCTGGCCAGGAAAGAGGATTTAGGACATCGGTGTGTAGAGTTCTCTACACCACGTGCATTCAAATATTGACAGTCTCTGTTCTCGAGTGCATTAAATGAATTCACATGCAGTTTGTGGTAGAACTAACTTAATGTGTGTGTGTGTGTGTGTGTGTGTGTGTGTCTCTCTGTCTGTCTGTCTCTCTCTCTCTCTCTCGCGCTCTCTCTTGCTCTCTTCTCTCTCTATATATATAGGACTACACAGTATATCTAAAAAATTTCATCAGCGTGATAATTGCCCATGTAGAATACGTTCCATAGAACTGTATGCTTTTATCTGACTTCGACCAATAATATACAACCCTAATGTCCATCACCGTCCAACACTAGCACAAAATAACTTCTGCATACAAAAAGTTATTACTGTGCACTTAATTAGTTAAGAATACATGAAGACTGCTTATTTTTCCGCATGAAAACAAAATCATTCAGTACATATTAAATATCGAAATTGCGAGATTCAACACCCATTTCGTATGTTGCATATTGCAATATCGTGTGTTTGTGTGATGCATGTTGCCAGAGGGTTAGACATACAGAATGTCTTTCTTGTCATGTTCCACAAGAGCAATGACATTTAAAGCACTACAAAAACAGTCATGTTTTTCTAACTAATGAATATGAATAAATGGGGGACAGAATATTATTGCATGTGTTGCCTATTGACATGAGGATAAGCACATTAGTTTGACGATAGATAGGAGTCATTTGTTTGTCCATGTAAAAAAAAAACACTCTTTTATGACCCTTGAAGGTCCTCCCGAGGCTCTAGCAAATCTTTGGATCTGCCACTGCCATATGAATGTTTAACACGCTGTAATATTTAATGCTCAGCTCACGGGCACAACCTGAGAGTGTGGGATGATTTGCCATGTGGGTCAAGCGAGGCTCACACGGGCTCCTTTAATGCAATGTGGATTAATCTGGCGCAAAGCTCAACGTTAAGTATCTTAAAGAAGGATGGCGAGACACTTGCTGGGATTATGAGGAATCCCTGAGTGCAGGTCCTGCAGGGGAGGAGAATTAGGTGACTATGCCTTTAATACTTCTGTGTAATCATTCCTTCCAGCGTGACGAGTATTGGCTGCGCTCTTGCTAAGACGTGATCATTTATCAGTTTGACTCAACAGTTCTCCGGTGCTATAAGTTCAAGTTCATGGGTGCGGCCGCCGAGTGCGAGAGGAGACGGCGGTGGTCCCTGCATGCCTGTTTGGGGTTACATAGCCTTTGACCTCTGCTGCCGTTGCTATGGGGAAGAGGCTGGCGGGCGCAGTAATGTACGAATGAAAAGGCCGAACTGTCACTGCTCTGCAGCTCACACACACACACACACACGCACACGCACACGCACACACACACTAAACTTCCATTCACATTCTCTCGCGATGTCAGCTGCAAGAAAGCAGTTTATGTTTGTTGTAATTCATCCAAGCTGCAAGCCCATTCATGTGAGCAGCCTTTATGTGTAGTGTGAGCTTGCAAGGCACTAAATACACCACTTGTCAGATGGTGCGCCTTCGTATTTCAAACAAGAATACTCCTAAAATCATCATTTCAAGTCAGAAGGAGTGATGGACATTTTCCTTGTGAGACACTGAAAAACACATTGGCACTTTGAACAAAACCTCCAATATATACTGAAATAGTTTAGAGTACAGTTTGGTCTAAACGTATTTGGGCAAAGAGTCTTTTATTTCCCCTCCAAATGATTTTGAAATGAATATAATCCAAGATGTGATTGAACTGGAGACTCATATGACATGAGCCCAGATTGCCATTTCACGCAAAAGGTCTCCATTTTCAAGGATATGGACCGAGTGACATGTTTATTACTGCCCTGCGTGTGACGCACCGGTGTCACTGTCATTCCATCCAAGTATTATAAATGACAGCTATATACAATGATGTCACTTTTCCCCAAACGGAGGCAATCTGTAGAAAAGGGTTTTGTGGTAAATAACATTTTGTGAAACTCCTTGAAAGAAAGCTCGACATCTTTCATGTCCATTGTGGCGGTGTATGTTTTTTTTTTTTTTGTAAGCATTTTATTACTTCTGAGAAACCGGCAAGCCGGCTGATTGGAATAAGTGCACGTCTCCATGTCCCCTTCGTAAATATGTGAAAGTGTGGCCTCATTTAAGGTTGCATTCATTCAGGGGAGGGGGTGCTCACGAATAAAGGAGTGTGTATTTGCATATGCTGTATGCTGTCTGCAGAAAATAAAAGGAGCTGGCAAAAAAAAAAAAAAAAAGATATCAGAGGTGGACAAAGAACAAGGACAAATCCTTCATTGTAGGCTTGGTGGGAGAAAAGGCTCGTGTGAATTGGGGAGTGGGTGAAAATTGACAGAGAAAGAGTTGAGCCTGGTTCCCCGTGGGGATAAAAGCCTTAAGACCCCTCCATGATAAAGTCAGAAAATAAGAGAGAAAAACAACATGTAAATACAGAGGCTAAAAAAAACCAAACTCTGCTGATGTTTCTTATTTACCTTCATGCACCCTTTTCAAGAACGTAGTTATGCAATTATTTAAACATATCGATGCACTTGTATTGACAATTTTTTTTTGTTTCATAAAAAATGTTACATTTTGTGCAGGATTGAAAAGGCTCCTTTTCTTTCTTTATGTCCCCAGGTTGAAGATGACAAGCAGTGGAATAACTCCAGCCTGCACATATTTGGGACCAAAGTCATCACACCATTTTTTTTTTGTTCAAGGATAATACCTCAACTCAAACCACGATGTTTTTTTCAATTAAAACGTTACTGCACTTTCTTATGTAAAACGTGTTCATCTTAAATTCTGCAAATAAAAAAACCCGCAAAACCTGTTTACAATTTGTTTTCAATGTGATTTGTTTCAAGAACATTGTAAAATAAATAAAACTCTGCTTTTAACCCCCCCCCCCCTTCCGTCCCAAATGATGAATACTTCTGTATTCTGACAAAAACAACAAAATGAAATAAACGCACAACGGTCTAAATCATGTTTAGGGAAAAAGGCATGCATGCGCAGTGCTTTCATGTTGATAGCAATGTATTTAAATCATAAAATGGTTTCATTCATCGAAAGAAGCTGGCCTTAGGAAATGCGCTGTACAAGCTTTGCGTGCGCTTTTTCTTTTTTTGGGGAGCCCATTACGTGAATCAGACTGTGCACAATTGGCAGGAGCTGCACCTGTGATTAAAATGGGTCCAACATCTTCTTGTTCGTTTATTAATTTATTTTGAAGCAGGGCGGTTTTAGGTTGAACATAAAAGGAGGAAGGTTCGATCGAATGGCGTGGCGCGACGCCTGGTTTTCACCCAAACAAACAGCACATGAATAGACCCGCACACAAACGCGCGGGTACGCGCAGACGGGTCAACGCGGGATTGAGACCGCATCTCTTTCTTTAAAGGAATGAAAAACGAATGCGATGCAGGCATTAATAGGAGCCCGTTCACGTACTTTGAAGGCCCAAACGAATGTCCAGAAACGAATCTCTTCATGTCAGGGCTCAGTGGATTATTCAGATCCACGGCGTGTGTAACGTAATGTTGATGTATTAAAATAAAAATGCCTTGCACGATTAAAGTTAAAATGTCAACAGCTTTCATATTTGACGTTTGTGAAAAATTGAAAACGTTCTTAAATTTTGACATTTTACATGCAATCGATCCACTGAAACAAAATATACAAAATGTAAAGGCATCGTGTAAAGTAGCACAGACGCATCATCTACGACGATACAAGCTAATATAATTTAATATACCGTAATGGAATACAGTGTAATGTAATGCATGTGCCTAGCAGCCTTGCCCCTCCACGACTATAGTGAGGAGAGCAGTAGAGGGACTTCATCACATAAAACAATACCAGCCTGTATAAAACTAAATTCAAGTGAAAACAAGTGACAAAAGATTGTTTGACAAATTTCGATTTTCTTGCACAAATATACACAAATAAATGTGGACATTAATTCAATGAATCGTAAAATGAGATGGCAAATGTGAAAAAATACTTCCCACCTCCCCCCATCGAAAAGCTTTTTAGTGATTCCATGAAGGTGGGGAGTTGTGCATGTTTTCGTTGTGTCTCAATAATTGTAGCAATTCATTTCTGGTTGAATGCAAAGCAATTAGTGAAACCAGCCTCTGGAATGTTGAAATAAACACATTAATAAAAGTGCTTCACTGGTGTGATTTTATTCATTAAAAACTTCTTGTGTGCTTTCAAACCTGTATGCTCCACAAATAAATGTTGCCATTAATCAAGACTCCCAATCGTCTGTATTGACCACGTCGGCCAAAAACATTTCGCTATTTGTTTTGGCGAAGTACTTACAGGACATCAGGGGTCCGAGGTCATGACCAGGATGGTCCCCCAGAGCACAATAAACAGACCAGAGAGATGCTGAGGTCAGGAGCCAGTGTCAAAGGGCAAGGGCTGCTAATTAAGAGGCCATTTCCAGCCATTCCCCGGTGACCGCTGCACTGAGATTGCACTGACCGCTTAAGTACACAGAAAAACCAGCATCAAATTCAGAAAACTAGATGAATAAATGGCAACGAAACTGCAAAAGAGGAAAACGAGGAGTGCATTTAACACTATGGAAGTTGTACCAAATAGTTTGGAATATGGTCCAAAAGCAAGCGATTTTCTGCAGATGAGATCTTAGATGTTTCAAAGAACCACTGCAGCAAGACTTGAATGAATTCTGTCCACAAAGTCTCCACGTTTTGGAGGGAAAGTTGCTTGGAGCTGTTTGTGCCTGCAGTGAAAGAGTCTGGAAGCGAACCTTTAGCATAAGAATGGAAACGGGGTCTGTGAACTTCTCTGAAGCCGACCTCCCTCCCACCATGTGACCAGTGGGCCATTCTTTGGAGCCTTGGCCTTGGCCTAAACTCCCAATCGAGCTGATTTAACGTATCCTACAAGGCTTTCCTCATGCATGCACCCCTTCCACACACGTTTCGTGCCTTGCCCTATGAATGGACCCAGGCCTCGAAATAACAGGGCGGCCTTTCTCCCATTGGGTCATTATGCAATTAGTTTTCCTCTCAGATAGACTGGAATGACCTCAATTTTTGGATTAGTTAAAGTATCTCCATCCAAACATTGAAATGTTTATTTATTACTTTGTTTACTAATTATCACAAATTACTTTTTTGTAAAGGCAATTAATGCTCAGTTCTGTCTCATAGTTTAACTCTTGAACGTAGAAGCTAAATGGCACCATTGTGTGTGTGTGTGTGTG